CAAGACCCGTGGAGGACACGTGATGTTTAGAGGTGGTATCAATAGGACTGAAGGAACAATGACAGAGTTTAGCCTGCTGGTAGAGCTAGCTGAGCAACACTTGTGGGTCTCTCATCTTCCGCTGATCTTCGTTTCGATAAGAGACGCACAGCTGAGAACTCCTGGCATTCCTGGGGATCCAAATCCCTCCTGCTGACTCGGCTGAGGCCTAGCTGTCCCTGCTAGGTTGTGCCACTGATGCTGCTACCCCAACACTACTGAACTGAACTGCTGGTTTATCTGTGAAGTGTTTGGGAGTGGACTGAGCTGCTGCTACTGACCTGTGAACTGAACTGCTGATTTCCTGACAACACAAAATGGAGTTGCTCCAAAGAGCCATTTCTAAACAAGTCCACTTCCCCTCCACACTCCCACCACCCATACCCTTTCTTTTTCACTACCTCTGGTGGGTTGTGGGCTAGAAGGAAGGTTAAAGAATTTAAGAACCATCATTAAAAGTAGGCATTGAAAAAAATTAAAGTTAACTGAAGCATCAACCCTAGCTGAAGATCTATTGTCAGCTGATGATGCTCATGGCTACTGGTAGGTTGTCCATACTCCAGTGGAAGGCCATACAACCATGTGCATACAGACAGCATTAACTGGACTCAAGGTGTTATTAATAACAATATAAGAAGACATTAAGTCAGGAGGGAGATGGGATGAAAGGCTAGAGTGAGTTGGAGAGAGATAGTAATGGATAAATGAAAATGCATCATATAAATATATCAAACTTTCAAAGAATAAAAAAATAAAAATTATAAAGAATTAAAAAGGGCTGGTAAAGGACTGGAGAGATGGCTCAGCGGTTAAGAGCACTGACTGCTCTTCCAGAGGTTCTGAGTTCAAATCCCAGCAACCACATGGTGGCTCACAACCATCCGTAATGAGATCCTATGCCCTCTTCTGGTGTGTCTGAAGACAGCTACAGTGTATTCACATACATAAAATAAAAATAAACCTTTAAAAAAAAAAAGCTTTTAAAAAAAAAAAAAAGGGCTGGTAAAAGTTCATGGATAAAAGAGCTTGCCAGCTAAGCCTGACACTCAGAATTCAATACCTCCAAAGTTGTCCTCTGACCTAAACACACACACACACACCCCAAACACCCCAAACTTATTAAAAAATAGAATAGAATTAAATGAGAAAACAGTAACAAAAAAAATCAGACAAGATACAAACAGGAAATTTCAAGGTATGTTTTAAACCACTTTGTGCGTCAAAGTGAAAATACAATGTTATCAGAAACTACACAGTGCAGCCAAGGCTGAGCATAGAAAGAAATAGTTTATAACAACATGGAAGTCTCAAATCAGGGATGGAAACACTGCCCTTAAGAAAACCAAACTAGGGGCTGGAGAAGAGCTCCCACATGTGGGCAGACCCTTCTCAGCTTGCTTCATACAACTGCCAGGCAGAAGAATAGAAGGATCTCAGTCTGTGAGATTAGACAGGCCAACTTCTTGCCCCAACCAGTAAGTTTTTTAAACTAAACACAAAAATAAGACCACAGTAACAGCCAAGCAGGCTAGCAGGTATCTGGCTAAGGACCTGTTCTCAACAGCTGGGCTGCTCAGTACAGCACAACAGCCACCAGCAACAGAAATTGATGTGAAATACCCTTAAATACCATTAATAATCAAATACAGACATCCCTCAGTGTCCACCCAGGACTGCTTCCAGCACTCCCTGCAGACCGACACTCTAGGAAACCAAAGCTCTTCGTGTTAAATGGCATAATGTCTACCTGGAATCTTTGCATCCTCCCATGCTCTACATCATATCCCATCACAACAGAGACACTGTATAGATAGTTACTGCTATACAGTTATCATGAAGAAAAATCTGTTCACGTGTGCACACAATTTTTCTTCAATCCAGATAAAGTAATATGCAGATAAGGAAACTTCAGATATGAAGGGAAATTGTATTTTGGGAAAATCATTTTTGTTCTGTGCGTTTAGGGTGGTGTGTATGGAAGCCATGGGTTGACTTTAAATGTCTTCCTCTATGCTTTTCACTTCAGTGGAAAAGGCAGGCTCTCTCACTGAATCTGCAGCCCGCCAACTTGGCTACACTGGCTGGCCAGAGAGCCCCAGAAGTCCATGCATCTTCACCTTCCCATCAACAGGGTTCCAGGTGCACACGCTGCACACTGGCTGGTCAGTGAGCCCCAGGGCTCAGCCTATGTATGTCCACCTCCCCAGCACTGGGATTACAGGTGCTGTGACTAGACCTAGACTATACCTACCCTTTATGTGGATGCTGAGGATCTGAGCTCAGGTCCTCAGATGTGCACAGCAAGCAAACACTCTACTGAATAGGCCATCTACTCAGCCCCTCTTTCATATGTTTCTTTAAATAATATGGATACTAAAAATGCATTGCTTTTGTTTGCAGAGATGATGGGAATCAGAGTCAGGGCCTTGAACACAACTCAAGCACAAAACTCTAAATTATATATGGGACACACAACCCTTCCATTAGACAGCATTGAGAACCTCAGCTCAGGTGTCCAGGGGTGAAGAAAAACCTTAAAGTTCTCTTAGGCCAGGGACTAACATATTTTACCAAGATTTTGACAGGGGAAGCTTGCCTGCATAACAGAACCTTAATGTGTGTAATGACTGCAGTTGTTTGAATGAGAACGGCCCCCAAAGCCATTCTCATGGATGACTCAATGTTTATTCCAGTTTGTGTAACAGTTTGTGAAGGATGAGGAGGTATAGCCTTGTTAGAGGGGATGTGTCACTAGGATCGAGCTTTGAGACTTCCAAAGCCCATCCCATTCCCAGTTAATTCTCTCTGCCTCCAACTTGTGGATAAAGACATAAGAACTCAGCTACTGCTCCAGAGTCATGCCTGCCTGCTACCACATACCCCACCATGGTCATAGATTCTAACCCTCCAAAACTGCAAGCCCCCAATAAACTCTTCTATAAAGTGATTGGGCCAATGTCTTATCACAGCAATAATAAAGTAACTAAGACAGTGATATTATTGCTTTCATTTTATTATTTTATTAAGAAAAATCTCTTAGAGGGGCCGGAGGGATGGCTCAATGGTTAAAGAGCACTGGCTGTTCTTCCAGAGGTCCTGAGTTCAATTTCCAGCAACCATCTGTAACTGTAGTCCCATGGGATCCAGTGCTCTCTTCTGGTGTGCAAATGTACATACAGACAAACATCCATCCGTATACATAAAGTACATAAATAAATCAGAGAGAGAGAGAGAGAGAGAGAGAGAGAGAGAGAGAGAG